ACTAAATTTTTTAGTTTCTATGGAGTCTGTGACAACTTAATTTTTTCATTGACCCTATCGTCTAATCTCACAGCTGAAACAAGCATCCTTATTAGTCTGTGCGTAGGAAGCGTACCGATGCTGTAGTAAAACAAAAGGTATGATAATTTCTTATTAAAAAAACCTTGTTGCAGCACTAAAGCAGAAAAATGAGATTTTGCAATAAATATGCAAAATAGTTGCATATGAATTGTTTTAGAGCCCTTTTATTGGCAGAATCTGATATTAATTTAGTTCTTACAAAAAATGGGTCCCAACGTGGTTTGTGTGGCGTTGCCACAGTGTGACGTCATAGACACAGATCCCCTGTCCTCCTTTTTTTGGAAATGGAAATATGGTCACGCTATATTCAACAAACTGTCCACCCGGGCTTTTGCGCTGCACAGAGACGCTTCACTGCCTATGACTTTGAACGTCAGTTGAGAGTCAGTCTCATGCAGACTGACCAATGAAGAGTGGGCCTCAAGTTAAGACCCTCTCCTCATTGGTCAGTCCACACGAGGTGGGTCAAAGGTTACCCTGTGTAAGGGAAAAATGAGAGGTTCTTACATTTTAATTAAGGAGCCGTAAGGCGTGGGATTCCATAGTAAATATGAAATCCACCTTACGGTTTAGTGGGTTATTTAAACCAGAAGATCGGATCTTTTTAATGCAGAGATTATGTAACCGTTATGTATTCACTCAGAGACAACAGAATAGAAAGAGTCAAGTTTAAAAGTTAAGAATTTTATTACTAACAATTAAACTAGGCTTATTTAAGAACTAAGTGTATAGTGTGACTAAAAATGGATGAGACGGTGAATGGATGACGTGTGATGTAAATCAGAACCAGCAAATCCGAAGAAGCGATTAGTTCTGACGGGAACTGAAGATGTTGGTTTGGAATAAGCTTGGGTTAGTTTCAGAACCACATGAGAAACCATCAAGCCGGTCTGCTTGCCTTGTGGAAGTCCTCTGGTGAGATCAGGAACATCGAGGCCCAGTGGACCCTCTCTGGAAACTGAGCCGGTAGAAGCAGCCGCGGTTCCGACCAGACCCGTCTCGAGTTACCTTCGGCACATGACTCTTTATTGGCGTCTGTTCAGACCCATCCTGGGTCGGTGGAGCTTTTATTCTGAAAGGAGCTGTTGTGGTTGCTGGTTGTTATAGCGACTGGATTTTCTCAGCTTGTCGAGGTTCTTTCGGTTGAAGAGTTAAAGGTCGGATTGGCCACTCCGACGCTTGCTCAGGAACGCTTTGAACTGGCATTAGAGATGACGTGGCATCTGTTTTATACCTCGGATGTTATGGTTTATTGTTGAATGAAAATTACCAAACACCGTCAGAAGCATGCCTCCGTCAGATCTGTAAAATTCTGTTTGGATCAGTGTAAGACTGTGTCATGTCTTTTTAACACTACGTGAAATGAGTCCTGTTGGAACATTTAAAGTTACATTACTTCATTTCTAAGATCATAATAAAATAATATTTTAATTTCACAGGTCAGTCACATCTTATTATTGATTAACACTTTGATGGATTAGCTTTATTTAAATAGTTATTTAATTAATTAAAAGAAAAGAGTTCATTCTTCTTTCTTCTGTCTTCATGCTCGAATGTAAACAGTTCAGAAGTGAATGCATGACCTTGAGGCTGTTTCATGCACACTGACAGTGTCAAAAGGAAACAGCTGTTAGGGTAGAAATGGCTCCTTCATCACGTTACACCTGAGCAGGTTATGTGACGTCAGACATTCAAGTATTGAGTATATTTACTAGGGCTGTAGCGAAGCCTCGACGAAGTCGACGGCTCGATTCTAAAAATTTGTCGACGTCAGATCCGGAAGTCGACGCACCGCGCCCACTTGTTGCATCCCCAGGAGTTTGTAAATAGAGGAGGAATCTGCCCGTTTTTCCTCTAGTTCGCCCTCTTCTCCGCCTTCACTAAAATCTCCGCCAAATACCGAAGACCCGGAACAACGTCCGTCCACTACTAGATTATTTTCCTGTTTTGCCCCTTCGTCTCCCGGCAACGGACAACAACTTCCGGGGTCAGATGCGCTGCTTCGTGTCTATCGCAGATGTAGAAAATCACCGGGAGCGCTTCTCCCTTCATTAAGGAGCTTCTTTCAGACATGAGGAGAGCTGTTTTGGTGGTAGCAGTCTCTCCTCCGTGCTGGTCTGTTTGCTGCTGGGTGTTTTTGGTTTATTTAAACTTGGTAACTTGAACTTAACGTTGGTAAAGCTACTGTTAGCATCTTCGCTAACAGCTTCTTGCGTTGGGATAAGCTGTTACGTTTTGGTTTAGAGTTCATCTTTTTTGTGGTGTAGATCTCCCTTTTATTACATTTAAGAGTGTTGTGGGTTTTCGGTTTAGTGTAAAATATCACCTGAGTTTGGTTTAACCCGTAAGACCACTCGCCTCACGCACATAAGTGACCAAAACAAAGCAGCATGGAGACACTCCATCTTCTACCACCTCTCAGGCAGCAGCCTGCACTCCCAAGTTCTACACGTCACCAGAACATAACCAACCGCAACACAATAAAAGCAGTGTTATACAAAATGGAAGGCCTGTAGTGTTTATTCTCTTACAGTAAGAATTTATCAATTTTTTTGAGGAATTGATTTGAGATTTTCTGGCTTTTGTTAATTGTGCAATAGAAAAATAATCATTAGATTAATTTTCTAAATAGTCATTAGAATAGTCGACTATTCGATAAAATAATCGTCAGAATAATCGTTTTAAAAATAATCGTTTACCCCCAGCCCTAATATTTACTGCATATTACAGTAAAATATTCTGTATGTGACCATATTATGGTGATTCTTGGGTCGTGAGGATGGGGCCCTTTAATATTGTTGCCCAGGGTACAACAAAGTGTTAATCTGGCGCTGGCCCCACCACTGAACTTTGTCTATAGGTCGTGGCCAGACTATATATTTACATAGGGTGGCTGGCCAGGCCACCATATCTCCACTCCTGAAACTGAAGTCAGAGAATGCTCAACATAGTTTTACTTGATTCTTGTCTTTCTACACATGACTCAGGTGAAAGTAATAAACACCAGTTTACATGATGGTTCAAAGAGACGTTTAATCTGGTTCATGTGATAATGCTGCTCAAACGCAGACGAGACCCAAGTGGATTGCTGTTCTAGAATAAATGAATAGCTCCATTGCTATCTGGCGTTCAGTGCAAACTGGCTTTTAAAAGGACAAAGGGAATACATTTATAATCGAAAACATTTATAGGTTGGTGTTTATAAACAGGAACATTTTTACTTCCTGTAGGAACATCAAATGATGAATTCACAGCTCAAAGTGATACTGACAGCCTTTCAAAGATTTAGAAGACGGTGTATGCTATTTTTAAAACCCTCTTGGTCTCCTTCATACTAGCCGTGAGCTTATCAGCCCGATCAGAGCAAATCTGAGTTTCAGAACCCCACTTAGAAAGACCTGAGTTACGCCTTCATGATCCTGATGGCTGCGATGAGCTGTTACCAGTTATAGTAGGATGTGTCCCAGTTTGTGACCATGTGATGTTTCACTGTGAGGTCGGGGTCGCCTGCTGGCTCTGCTGAGTCTGTTCAGAGTTGAGGACTTTTCTCAGATCTGGAAAAAACCTGGGAGCTGCGTTATAATCCAACAGTTGAAGGAAATTAAAATATCTCTCTGAAATATAGCAAAACTAAAGTGTTCATAAAATTCTCTTCCTGTCATCCTTCTTCCAAAAAAGCCTCTGCGGCACAGCGCTGCAATCAAAATGGCCACCACATGGATGGAAGCTGGTGTGACTCGGTTTAAACTTTACTCTGTTGTTCCTTACAGATCTGTGTGTGTGGCGTGTAGCTAGCAGCCTCACTCACTGCTGTTGTGGTGTCTAGAGAAGATTTAGACAGAAATAGACGTTTGGAGACTTTATGTTTCCGTGAAAGTGATTCCTGATTGGTCCAAATTTTACCCCGGCCTTGTAACTCCATAGCCCGCAGAGCTGGTTTACGACTGAACCATACACCAGGTATAGATGCAGCACACAGAACAGGTCCTTCTGGTGGTGGGCCTTACCATCGCAACCAAGGTGTAGCTTCACTGGTTGCCATGGGCAACAAGGGAGTAGCTGTGCAGGAAAATGTGAAAGGCAGCAGGTAAAAGGACATATTGGTTGTTGGTGAGGAGGTGCATAGAGCAGAAAGGAAGAGAGGTGATGGGGAGGAGGAAAAGGAGAACATGTCTAAAGATGCTGCTGCTGTCGGGTAAGAACAACCCCCGTAATGAAGATCATCTCTGAAGACAACATCTCAGCTGTTGGTGTGGTGAGCCCTGGATGCCTTGTCATGTGCATCCAGAGAGGGGAAACTTTAACCCTTCATCTTACTGTAATATTTACCTGGAGCAACAAGGGAATCATTCTTCTAAGGGATCTCGGAGATAATTTAATTAAAGGCTCCTGATGTACAGCTAAGTTACGTTTTAACAGGATCCACCAGCGGTTTATTTTTTTGTATTTTCTGATGTTGCTAAAAAAGATGAAATACCAAATGTGTTCCTGTCAGATGTGTTGGCAATTCTTCTGTGGTGTATGATGATGTCCTACCGGCCCATCTGTTGATGTGCTCGTTATAATCTGGAATAGACACCCGTGACCTAAATGAGGTACATCTTCACCACAGCATTAGCAAGGCATCCATTTTGACTCTGAGTCTGTGTGTAAGCAGAGCAGCCAGTGAAATCAGAGGATGCAGCTGCATCTTGGAGGGGGACGGCTCTTATGTGGGCCAAAATTGGGTAAAATGAAAGGGAAAGGGTTAGTTCAACCAGATAACCGATATGAGACTGGTTTAAACACAGACGGCGTCGGGGAGCTCCGCTGTGGAGGTGTGCCCCTGGGGACACCTGAGCTACCTGTACAGCTGTCAGAGATTGTTGGTGCTGGCTTCACCTAATTACATCCTAAATGCCTTTTGTTTGTGTTGCCAGGTGGTTGCCTTAGTGATGGATGGGGATTCGGAACCTAACCCTGTTGTGGTGGAAGAGAGAGGGGAGAGGGTGGAGCCCATGGATGCCACTCCTCCCCACCAGCAACAAACCTCACCCCCCAGCCAAGAGTCTGGGGAGGCAGTTTCCATGGTAACGGGAGATGAAGCCACAAAGCAGCATGGTGCAGAGGACAATGATGATGATGATGTGGTTCTTGTAGAGGAGGAGGAGGCTCCTCAGTCCGCTACCATAAGCCCCCCCCAAGACACGCCCAGCACCGAGGGCTCAGAGCAAACTGTTGCAACAGTGGACACAACAGTGAGTCCTCCCAAGACCCCCGCTTCTCCTCTGTCTTCCAGCGGTTCCACGGTAGCAGCATCTCAGAAGCTTGCACCTGCAGCTCCAGAGCCTATCGTTATTGATGACGAGGAGGACTCGGAACAGAAAGAACCCACTTCCTCTTCACCTGAGCCCCCAGGAGAATCCTCTACATCCCACTCATCTGGGGCACTCGAAAGCACTGAGCTGGAATCAGAGCTCAGGATCACCAGTGTCACCACACTGGGCCCCACCAGTCAGAAGACCTCCACGCTTTCTGCAGGAAACACCCCCCCGCATCCGGTGGACGAGCAGGCAGACATGAACCTGATGATAACTTCTGTGACATCACTGCAGGGAGAATCTGCAATCACATTAGAGGTTTGCATTTTTTATTTAGCATTTCTTTCTCCTCGCATAGTAAAGTTAGGGTCATGACGTCCGCGCTCGTCAGACCCGGAGCAGATGAAAGATCACGTCACTTGTCGCGGTTCTTTATTTTGGGACAATGAGGAGAAACTCTAAGCTGCAGCTCTCGCGTGTGTTTAGGCAGGTGAAGACCACACAGAGGAAAACGGTCTGCAGATCAGTAGTGCCTTCAGCCTGAATCCTGACACGCCATCTGCTCGACCAACCGCCTCCTTTAACCCGGGTCGGGGCTCGGGTTCCATCGGCCAGCTGGTTCAGAACGGAGACCCAGGAACACATAATAGAGCAGGTAATGGGAATCTAGCTTTAGAGTTTGGGATCAAATAAACAAAATTAGGTGTTGGACTCGGTTTGGTGGAAGATGATCAAGCTTTTAGAGTGGCGCTGGGTATGATTCTAACTTTGTGCTGCCTCTAGGTGGTGCTGTCATCTGCACCCTCATACCCAGGTAGAAGTTAAACAGCATTTACCAGGCTGTTGGGTCTAACCTTTATGGGTTGTTGTTTTGATTGGTTTGTAAAATAAAAAAAAGTGTCTGGAAATGGTTTTTTTATATATATATATTTTTTAGAAGTTATTTCCTTTATGGAGCACATTTTCTGGAGGATGTTTGGAGGTTGCTGCATGGGTTTCTTGTTTCTGCCATGGTTCACCTTTGACATACTTAGTTCATCTTTCCTTATTTTACTGTAGATTCGTGGATTTCTCAGTCAGCCTCGGTTCCCCGCAACCAAAAGCAGACGGGGGCGGACTCTCCCTCGCTTCCTAAGCCTGCAGGCCAGTCTTCCTCCTCTACATCCTCCTCAGGCGTCCAGACACAACCCAGGACAGTGAAGGTAATCCCATAGTCGCTGTGGAAGGTGAAGTTCCTTGTTGACATGAAAACATATTTGAACATTCAGATGTGTGTTAGCTAAGCGGTCTGATTTTCTACCAAACTCATGCAGTTATTTTGCCGTAGCGGTATGTTGGGTGTCTTTGAATCAGAATCATGGTTTGTTTATTACAGGTGACCTGTGCTAACTGTAAAAAGCCTCTAAAAAAAGGTCAAACGGCCTATCAGAGAAAAGGCTCCGCCCATCTGTTCTGCTCTACAACCTGTCTCTCCGCCTTCTCACACAAACCTGCCCCCAAGAAGAGCTGCACCATGTGCAAAAAGTAAGTCGCCCACAGGTGTGTGTGTGTGTGTGTGTGTGTGTGTGTGTGTGTGTGTGTGTGTGTGTGTGTGTGTGTGTGTGTGTGTGTGTGTGTGTGTGTGTGTGTGTGTGTGTGTGTGTGTGTGTGTGTGTGCGCGCGTGCGCGCATGTTGAACTCAGCTTTGTCTGTTAAGCTGGGCGGACACTGTGCGACTTTTTCACTCGTAGCACTCAGCTTCAGCTCAAACTGTACGACTTCCTCGCAGGGCAGATCTCACGAGTCATGCGCTCACACTGTACGACCTAGTTCTTGGATGCGACCTGACTGCTCACACTGTACGTCTGGTAGCAACACGTCGGACCTAAAAAATATGCTAAAAATAGCAGTTTTTACACAATACGTCAGACTTTTTTGTCTTGTTTTGCCTGTTGTCCTTCGGGAGTGCTGCAGGAGGACACACAGGGATTTATGGGGGTTGGATGAGGAAAACGAAATAAAGAAAGTAAATCTGTGTTTTGTGATCATTTTAATTTGACATGAACATGACAAACACGCTTTCTTGACAATTCTGGTTGTGGTACTTTTTGGGTCGCAGCTGCTCACAGCGCCGCTTCAACAGTGAGATACCCTCACGAGGGACGAGCAAAATATTAAACACGCCAGAAGTCCGTGCGAGCTCACGATTGCTGATCGGTAGCTGGTCACGTGGTGTTAATCGCCTCTCGTAACCCCCTGTACACTACACGACGCTCGGCGCAAAACTCGCCCCGATCTTGTGGATTCTCGCACGAGTGGAATATTGCCTCAAAAAAGTGAAAAGGTCTCGCAGTGTACGCCCGGCTTTAGCCTCTTATTCTGTTATCTGCAAAAAAAAATTCCAATGTAACTATTGTAATTGGTGCACTTAACGTCTACAACTGTATGGAAGCAACCCGATTTTAGATGTCCTCCGCAGCAAAAGACACCATAGAAATCCTCATCCTCATTCCCTGCAGCTGAGCGCCTTTAACAAAACAAACTGCTAGAAGACTTTGGGAGATGTTTGATTTAGTGTTGGACTATAGATCTAGATTTGACCAGAACAGCTCTAACTCCCTTTTTCAGCGGGGCCTAATTTAGAGCGGTGGGTGACTTCTATAGCTTGCTGGATACTAGTAGAAACTCTGTTTTGTTTTTCATACTGGTTGACATGTTCTTTAGTTATTAATCAGTGGTGTTCTTGTTTTCCAGGGACATCACCAACATTAAGGGTACCATTGTGGCCCAGGTGGACTCTAGTGAATCCTTTCAGGAGTTTTGCACCACCGGTTGTTTAGGTGCATACGAGAACAAGCAAAACCCTCCAAAATCAGGCCTGAAAACCAAATGCACCGTCTGCGGCAAGCTCACAGAGGTCAGTCTGCTCGCCAGCCTTACCAATCTCCTTATTAGTAGGGCTGATTATCCGGACCCCGTAATGCAATTCAGATGTCATTCTAATGTGGCCAGACCCCCTCAGGCTTGTTAGGATGACCCACTCTTCTTGCATGGTTCTCTCTATCCTGTTGTTTCTTTATTACATTTGTTTTATTTGCAGGGGTGTAACGGTACAAGGGACTGACGTGAAGTTCTCACACGAACGTATAACTGTGTAGCACTTTAGCCTACACACATGGCTGTGTCTAAATTCAGGGGCTGCATCCTTTGAAAGACCCGAACCACCTGGTCCACTCAGGCACTAGTCACTAGCCTCTGTGACTGGGTCGGCCAGGTGCTTTGTTGATCAAGAATACCGTAAATAAGCGGCTGTGAAATACAGTGGTCTAGACTTCTGATTTAAATTCAATTCAATTTTATTTATGTAGCGCCAAATCACGACAAGAGTCGTCTCAAGGTACTTCACATAATAAACATTCCAATTCAGGTCAGTTCATTAAGCCAATCAGAAAAAATGTGTCCTATATAAGGAACCCAGCAAATTGCTGTAAAGTCACTGACTAGTGTCAGTGACTTTACAGCAATCTTCATACTTTGCAAGCATATAGCGACAGTGGAGAGGAAAACTCCCTTTTAACAGGAAGAAACCTCCAGAGAATCCTGGCTCAGTATAAGCAGCCATCCTCCACAACTCACTGGGGATGGAGAAGACAGAGCGCACGCGCACACACACACACACACACACACACACACACACACACACACACACACACACACACACACACACACACACACACACACACAGTTATAGTTATGTCCTCGGGCATATTTCTTGTTGCCTAGCAACTGTTACAAAGCTAAACAGCAGCAATGTGAGCTCCCTCTGTCCCTAGTGAGACCTGAGACACTGTAACTACCAACAGGTCTGTCCTTTGAGCAGACAGTGTGGACAAACACATATTTCTATCAAAAACATGAAGTGTGGATGAACCTGAACAGCAAGCTTGAACTCTTGTTGCCCTTTAGTAGAGAAAGTTATTCTTCTAAAGATGGCAGGGTATCCGCGGATCCTTAAAAGTCTTAAATTAGCTTTTCCAAATTTAAGGCCTTAAAAATCCTTAAAAATGACAAAAAAATCCTTAAATAGAGTTTCCAAAGGTCTTAAATTACCAAAGACCCAATAAACAAGATTCTTTTATTTCTATAAAATTTTCGTGAATTTCTAGTTAGTGTTCAGCATTTTTTGTGTACGACATTGGCGTAAGCGGAACCGTACACGTTCAGTTGGTTGTGAAAGGGGGCTATTTTTAGATGAGCACATTAGCTGGTTAAGCTAGTGGGAGCTTGCGCCATGGGGAAGTGCAAGTTTAATGGTAACTGGATGGCTAATCCCATGTTCGTGGCCTGGTTAACACCGTTTCCAGGCAATAGCTGTAAATGAAAGCTTAAATTTAATTTAAAAAATAGCTTAAATTTGGTCAAAGTGGCCTTAAAAAAGGTCTTAAAAAGTCTTAAATTTGGCTCCCTTAAACCTGCAGATACCCTGGATGGGAAACAGTCATGATGTTTCAGGTGCAGCTGAGATGAAGTAATGATGTAGTTTCCTTAATGGAAAATATTGAAATCGTTATAAAAATGTTTAAAATAAAAATAAGAATATGTCATCTGAGAATGTTTTGTTGGATAATTTACTGCAAGCTAAGTTTAGTTTTAATGTCATTAAAGCTGCAGCCGTTCACACAAAAGACAAACACGTTTTTCACTCTGACCCGTCGCCGTGCCGACGAAGACCTGAACCGTCACACTAAAACCTCGGAGCGTACCGAACCAGGGTCACAGTTGTACCGTGTCGTTTCCTCTTGTTTGTCTTTGTTCACTTTTATTTACTGCTTTCTCTCCGACTCCTGGTTCCTCCTCTGCTGCTGTGCTCTAAGAGCGGCGCCATCGCACATCAGAACGGTTTAGCTAAAATCCGCCTGAACTTTTCCTTTTAAACTTTAGGAACATTTCCTTCTTTTAGCGACTGTTGTGTGTAGATGTGCACAAGTAGTCGTCCCATTTGGCGATTCTGTTTATTTGGCACCTTTGTTCAGTCCGCCGAGCCTCAGAGATTAGTTACAGCATAAACTGAAGTAATAATACACAGGAGCCTAAATGGAATAACTGCTTTACTCTCTGCTGTTTGTTAACCTTTGAATCTGTCTCCAGATCCGTCATGAGGTCAGCTTTAAGACTGTGACCCATAAGATCTGCAGCGACGTGTGCTTTAACGTCTACCGCAGGGCCAACGGGCTGATCATGAACTGCTGTGAGCAATGTGGTGACTACCTGCCCAGCCGAGCGTCGGCCAACCTTTTCCTGTTGGTTGATGGCCAACAGAAACGCTTCTGTTGCCAGAACTGCATCAGGGATTTCAAACAGGTGCGTAGACCCTGGTTAGCTGGGAGCCGTAGATCAGTTTGAAAGATCTCTGTAGCTCTACCCCTCATGACTTTAGTCAGACACTGAAGGGACGTGGTGGTATTAAACTGGTTGTTTGTTCTGTGACGTGGCGTTCTTCTATCCAGGCCAACAGTAAACTCGCTACCTGCCAGACTTGCAAAACACTAATCAAGACTGGTGAAGTTCTGCACAGCCTGGGAGCCAGCGGCACCATGAGCTCCTTCTGCTCTGTTAACTGCATGCACAAGAGCAAGCTGACATCAACGCCTTTCATCAGTAAGTAATCAGAGTATCAGTTAATCGACTTCCCTGCTTTTAACTTCAGAGTTGTCAGGTTTTAGACGGGGTTACTCCAAAAGAGACCATAACACCTAAATTGTCACTGAACAGTTTAAAATGCTGCTGCCAGACCCCGGAGGTACTCATACTCCGTTACTCATGCAGCTTCACAGGCTAACGGTACTTTATCATGTGCACTTCAAGATCCTGGTTCTGACCTGGAGAGCCTTGCATGGACAGACTCTAGAATACATCAGCAACTTATAGCATCTGCACCCCATCAGGTCCCTGCTTGTCCCCTTATAGAAAGAAAAGCTAAGAAGACGGACCCTTCTCTGGCACTGAGGTCCTTAGACTCAGAAGATACTTTTAAAGCTGCAACAGCAAATTTGGAAAACAAATTGGCTGAAAATATTTTTTCATGCCTCTTACCCCGGGTTTCCACGGGAGCCGTCAGCAGCACGTTACAGCAGCAGCACGTCTTGCTCGCGTAAACTGCTGCTTGGCCCTTCCCACGAGACGCGAAGCAGCAGGGGAGCAGCTGTCACCGACCGAGCACGAAGTCACACGAGTGACTTCGTCAGTAAACACAACAACAAGCAGGAGAAAACTATAACATGGTTTGTGTTTTATGTTCTGTCCGTTTTATAATCGCCAGTACGGACCTGAAAAACAAAGGAGACCGCTAGCTACGTGATAACTTCTCACGGGGCCGCACATTTAGTAACCTTTTTAAAAGTAAAGCAACCTGAAGGCAGTACGTTCTTTATTCTGAAAATCTCGGTAGCTTCGCTCCGTTTCCGCGTCCAATTTCCTGTCTTTCCTTCCCCAAAAATGTCGAACTTGACCCGTTTCAGAGGCGTCGCGCGTAGAAAATAGAACCGGCGCGTAAAGGCCGCGACATGCTGCTCCTGAGACGCGGCCGACTCGCGCTGCTGACGGCTCCCGTGGAAAAGGTTCTGTTGACCACAGCGGTTCCTATCAGCAGCTATGACGTGCTGCTGCAGTAACGTGCTGCTGACGACTCCCGTGGAAAGCCGGGGTTACAGTATTTTCCGAACTATGAGTCGCACTTTTTTTCATAGTCTGGCTGGTCCTGTGACTTATATACCAAATTATGTATACCGCGCTGCTGCGGGCTGGCTCCGGTCCAGGAATGAGCTCCCCTGTCCTGCTGGGAGGGTTTGAAACGCCGCCATCCTCTGCTCGAGACCGTGGCGCGCTGCTGCACCCTGGTTGTTTATTCTGTTATTGTTACTGGTACTTGTCTTGCAATGTGAAACGCTTGGTCTCAGATTTTGTAGTAAAAATAATAAAATTTCCCCCCAAAATGCGACGTATAGTCCAGTGTGTCTTATGTTTTTTTCTTCTTCATCATACATTTTATGGCTAGTGCGACTTATACTCTGGAAAATACGGGAACCTTCTAACATAGTATATCTATAGATGTGATGTTCAGACATCTGTCTCAGGGAAGATACCCGAGGGGAGGGGTGGATATTCTGACCCGTTTTCATTCAAAACCTAGCTTGCTTGCAGCTTCGCTATAACAGCTTTAACCCTTGCAGCTGAACGATTTACTCGTGAGCTGATAGCATTGTTGTAATAGTTTATACATTTAGGAAAATCCTGAGGGTTTTACACAGAACCGGTGTGTGATTTCCTGTCTAGCAGTATGTTAACTGCAGGAATTATCGTGTCCCAGTAGTAGACCCCCCCTACTGGGAGGGAGGGAGGGAGGGAGAGAGAGAGGGAGAATGTAGTAGACCCCCCCTACTGGGGGGGGGGGGGGGGACTGACACTGACTTGGCAGGCTAATGTACCTTTTGTTTGAAGAAAATCATGAATTGAACTGAAATCACAATTCAATCTTTTCCTAAAATCGTTCAGCCCTAACCCCTACCCTGCCTGTAACGGCGAGGCAAGCTGCTTCTGGAACACGACTGAAAATATCCATGGTGTGGCTGGCTTGAATCACCCCCATAGACTATAATTGATTTTATTTGAAACGGCGACGTTCTGCTGCCGTTCCTCGCCGCTGATGCTTCCTGTGTGAAATGGGGGTAAAACGTAGCTAAAAGCTTTTTCTCTTAAAATCTGTTCATGCTTGATTTATCTTGGGTTTTATTTCTTTTCAGTATCTGTGAGGCACTTTGTGGTTTATATCTTGAGAGGTGCTGTAGGAATAAAAATGCCACTTACTTTCTAACATGCTGAGCTTTCAGTGCTGCAGGTGGAAAAAGAGCAGAAAGAGAAAAACGTTAAGCTACATCAGGGGGGATTCAATTCCAGCCCTGGAGGGCCGGATCCAGCACTTTTTCATGGTTTCTCTGCTCCCAACACACTAGATTCAGTGGTTGAGTAACCTGTGCAGAAGCTCATCAGGCTCTGCAGAAGCCTGTTATTTGACTGCTCATTGAAATCAGGTGTGTTGAAGCAGAGTTTAAACTAAAACACGCTGGAGAACGGCCCTCCAGGCCTGAAATTGAACAGCCCTTGGGCTACATCATCAGGAGCACAAACGGGGAAACTGTTGCTAAGTTAGGACTTTCACTGTTAAGAAAATACCTTTTGATCGTGTGTGTGTGTGTGTGTGTGTGTGTGTGTGTGTGTGTGTGTGTGTGTGTGTGTGTGCGTGTGTGCGTGCGTGCGTGCGTGCGTGCGTGCGTGTGCGTGCGCAGACAAAGAACCCACGTGCCACTTCTGTAAGAGGAGTTCCTTACCGCAGTACCAGGCCACGCTGCCAGAGGGGAACGTCCTAAACTTCTGCAGCTCACAGTGTGTTACCAAGTTCCAGGTAGGAGGTCTCCTGGTTCTACAGGAAAAGTCACTAAAAAGCCTCGTTCATCATCTAGTCTACTTTAGACTGATGGGTGAGATAGTAGTGTGGTAAATGCTGGGTAAAACGCAGAATAACGGTTATTGTTATCAGGTTGTTTGGTGTTTGTCGAGGACACATCTCAGCTTTGCTCTGCCGAGTGGAGTAGTGACCTGATTAGGTCTTTGACTCCATATTTGATCATTTTACAGTCAGTAAGAAAACACACCATAGACCTAATGAGACATGTCGTCTGTATGCAGGGTATCCGCGGGTCCTTAAAAAGTCTTAAATTAGCTTTTTTAATTTAAGGCCTTAAAAATCCTTAAAAATTACAAATAATCCTTAAATAGAGTTTCCAAAGGTCTTAAATTACCAAAGACCCAATAAACAAGATTCTTTTATTTCTATAAAATTTTCGTGAATTTCTAGTTAGTGTTCAGCTTTTTTTGTATACGATGTTGGCGTAAGCGGAACCGTACACATTCAGTTGCTTGTGAAAGGGGGCTATTTTTAGATGAGCACATTAGCTGGTTAAGCTAGTGGGAGCTTGCGCCATGGGGAAGTGCAAGTTTAATGGTAACTGGATGGCTAATCCCACGTTCGTGACGTGGTTAACACCGTTTCCAGGCAATAGCTGGAAATTAAAGCTTACATTTAATTAAAAAAATAGCTTAAATTTGGTCAAAGTGGCCTTAAAAAGGTCTTAAAAAGTCTTAAATTTGGCTCCCTTAAACCTGCAGATACCCTGTGTGGAAAATCTCAGCTTGGTAATTACCTCAATAGAGGAAGCAGTATCAGTGTGTTAATCGTGTTTTATATTTATAGAGTTTCATGTCTTTTACAGAATACTACTTTTCCAACAACCACCAATGGCCAGATGCCGCTGTCCACCACAGACGGCTCCGTCCAGCTGAAGTGTAATTACTGTAGAGGGACTTTCAGTTTGAAGCCTGAAATCCTGGAGTGGGAGGTGAGCTCGTCTTGCCTTTGGTTCTCCCACAGAGAACAGTGTGAGGGATTTGGATCTGCTGATTGTACCAATTAATTGATAATCTACAGCTGATTTTGTTTCAATCTAATTCAAGATGGCAAAATTACCAAAACAGCATCATTGGTGAATGTGCCTTTTTCAGTTTTTTTTTTCATAAAGCACATGAAAGATCTAGATTTAGAGCAGGTTTCAGTCCATCTGAATGTGTGTTCAGGACAAGGTGTACCAGTTCTGCAGTAAGACCTGCTGTGAGGACTATAAGAAGCTCCACTGCATTGTGACGTTTTGTGAGAACTGCCAAGAGGAGAAGACGCTTCATGAGATGGTTCAGTTCTCTGGTGTCAAGAGGCCGTTCTGCAGTGAAGGTGCAGCGAGTTTTCCTGACTCGTAGCTCAAAGTCTTTCAAACCCCTTTGAAGCCTCCAGGTGTTTAGGTCAGGCTTATCCTCGTTTACGTGTTCCTCTTTCCCCTGTAGGCTGTAAGCTGCTGTTTAAGGAGGATTTTATCCAACGTCTCGGCCTCAAGTGTGTGAGCTGTAACCACTGCAGCCAGCTGTGTAAGAGAAGCTTGACCCGGCAGCTTGGCGGCATGACACGGGACTTCTGCAGCGAGACCTGCGCCAAGAAGTTCCACGACTGGTACTACAAGGTCCGCTCTTCCGTAACCCGTTAGAGCAAAATGCGGATGAGTGTTTTTTCTGAAATCTGATGTTTTATAACTGTCTGATCTTGGCCACTAGGCAGCGAGATGTGACTGCTGCAAGGTGCAGGGGTCTCTGACGGAGTCGGTGATGTGGAGATCAGAGATGAAACACTTCTGTGATCAGGAGTGTCTGCTGAGGTTCTACTGCCAGCAGAACGAGCCCATCATGGTCACGCAGAAAGGGCCGGAGAACTCCTGTCTGGGTACAAAGTGTGTGTGTGTGTGCGTGTGTGTGTGTGTGTGATGCAGGATGTTCTAAAGTTCTGGCTCCTCTTTGAGCTGCATCAGTCTCTGAGGGTTTAAAAGAGGACCGACTACAACAGCTCTGAGCAACTAGTCAGAAAACATTTGACTAACTTCTCTTGATTTACTTCTTAATGTAACGACGATATTTTCCTTTTCTTTCAGGGACAGATGCACAAAATACCAAACTTGGGGTAAGAATTACATTTTAGTTCTCAGATTGAAAAGTTTGCGTGAAACAGTTATACGACTTTTGCAGCTCTACTGGTCCTGTGAGTGCAACCCTCTCTGTCTCTCTCCTCACCGATGCAGCAGGAGAACCAGAGTGCTGTGGCGTACTCTGGTGGCGGTTTGGTGAGAGACGTGAAGAACAAGGCGGTCCTCTGCAAGCCGCTCACCCTGACCAAAGCCACCTACTGCAAGCCTCATATGCAGAGCAAACACCTGCAGACGGGTAACTGCTGCGTCCTACTTTAAAATTAAAATATTTGACCATTTACGTTGGTAATTCCCTCATAATGAATGCAGGAAAGACCTCTGAGACGTGAAATGTTACGCTAAAAGGACTCAGACTCATTAAATCTGCCTGATTTGCACGCTTATGTGAGATGCTTAATTATTTCCGCCCACAGATGTAGATGACGGCGTTAAACGGGAGTACATTCCTGTCCCCATACCTGTTCCCGTCTTCATCCCCGTGCCTATGAATATGTATTCCCAGGTCACTCCCACTCCTGTCTCTCTGCCGGTTCCAGTAAGTCATTTGTTTTGTTTTATGAGCACAAACACAATCCCAAAACATCAAAAGTTTTAATTAGCGACAATGTTGTTCCCTCCAGGTTCCCGTGCCTGTGTTTCTGCCCACCACCCTACAGGGGGCAGAAGAGATCGTTCAGACCATCAGAGACATGAGAAAAGAGGAGCCCACCACACCCATGAAGGCTGAGCTCTCTGTAGCTGAGACCATCACAGATGATGATGATGATGAGAAGCCAGGTGAGAAACGATGATATGTTCTCACAAACAGCCTGATATAAATAATATACTCCGCCTCAAAAGTCCTAAATCGGGGGAAGATGCTTTAAAAACAGCCAACTGAGGAAGTCTACAGGAAATGCTGACTCTGTATCTGTTTTTACAAAACAATGCTGTCAATTTGCTGCAACGCCGTGGCGGCATCAGGGAGCCTTAAACATATTGGCCAGAGGCAAATTTCCTTTGAACGGCATGTGTAAAGACGTATTCAAACCTCAGATGAAAAAGGTTTTGGGTAGGGATGCACTGATCCCGATACTGGTGCGGGAAAACAGAAACTAACTTCCGGTCTAAGCGCTGGGCAGCTGGTGACGTTTCACAAGGAGCTGAAACAGCTGTAGTAAACAACGCCCGACTCCGGTGTTTCTGCGTTAGCGTTATAGCAGAGAACAATGTGTCATCAGTCAGATGTAGCTTCAGAAGCCTCTGCTAGTCGGTCAGATTAGCTTTTTCTCCGGGACATGGCGACGAGAACGGATATTGGATTACTGGAGAAGTTCAACCGAACTCTGACCCCGCCAGCTAGATATCACTACCGGAGGTGCAGACATGTTTTAGACCGTTTGACTCAAAAGACCCGCGACCCGATTTCAACATCGAGGTGGATTCTGTTCATCTTCAGAACCAAAATCGGTACAGTTTGTTTACTTTTGTTAAATATTTCATTTCTGTGCTCCACCGGGAGCTCGAAGCTGACGAGTCCTCAGCTGGTCTTAGCTCCATCATGTGTCCCAATATAGTTCAGTAATCTACAGATATGTGTGCTGCCAGTTTTACAGCTCCATGTATTTATTGATATACCGTAACTCCAGAAAATATATAACTAATAGCTTACCAGAATAAATCTTCCTGATGCTGGAGTAACTCCTTAGTTTGACTCGGTTGCACTAATCCATGATGGCACGAAAGTTCTACTGGTCCATGGACAGTGGCGGTTCTACATGGAATTACTCCCCGGGCGAGGCCCCCTTTGAGCCCCCCCCACACACACCCACACACCACCCCACCTGTACGCACACACGCATGTTTTCTACAAACAGGCATGTTTTATTAGAACGACTATTGAACATTCATTTTTCTAAGTTGCACATATTTACATAAATTACTATGAAGCTGTCAGAATGTAAAGCAATATACATTATATACTGTATCAAAATATATAGAATCAAATATACAAAAACAAACAATAAATATTAAGAATATATGAACATAATATATAATAAATATTCTAAATAGCAAAAATATTTCACACATAACAAACTAAAGATAATCACTACAGCATTGCACTTAGAACAGAAAACACAAACTAAAATTAAAACCTAACCTTGATGCAAAGTCATCAATAATGTCATCATATGAAATCTGCTCCCCTACTGAGTGATTGATACTAATCAGAGCCAGGTTAGTGAGCCGCCCCTGAAACATAGTTGACCTCAGGTATGACTTGATCAGGTTTTGAAAAGCTCCTCTCAGCTTGAGCCACAGTGACTGGCAGAGCAGTCCAAAAGTTGGGGTAGATCTCCAATAGATCTTTATCATGATCCATAATATTTTAGAATTGCCTCTGAAATTGTAATTTAAACTGACATAAAAAAACTGTAGACTACCAAAAATGCCAACTTTTACAGAACAAATCATGTAAAAATAATCAGTGCAGCCATCTGCAATAAATAAACAGGATAGTTAGTGGTGACTTGGGAGTTTTCTTCTGCTTGTAGAGTTGTTTTATTTATTATTATGTGAACATGGTCAACATGTGTTTGTTGTTGTTCAGGCAGGCCACAGGCTGCAGCGAGCATTTAACAAATCCTAGTTTGAATCAGTAAAAAACGATTAAAGGAATTTTTTTTAACCATTTCAATATTCGTTTCAATATTTCAGCCCTATTAGCTCTGTTAGCAACTAGTTGACAGAATGTAACCGTTAAAATCCCAGTTAACTGGTTCAAAAAACTGAAAACATGCATCATGAGAGCGTACATACCTTTATCTTTCTCCTCTTTTTTTTCTTTTTTTTTTTTTTCCTGAACCGGGCACCTGGTGGTTTTAGCCTTTTTATGTTCATCAGATGAACCAAAATCGGTACAGTTTGTTTACTTTTGTTAAATATTTCATTTCTGAAATATTTAATGATATTTATGATGAACTTCATCTCCTCTGTTTGGCTCCTGACTCAATAAGTTTCCTTTAGTCAGGACTAAACAATTTGACCTTGATGGGGGGGTGACCACAAAATCGTTTTGTTTTTCCTTTTTTTATTCGGCCATTTCACACAATTCAGAAAAACCTGAAAGAACGATAGGCCTGTGTTTATGATATTATGAATGAAATGTGCGTTAAATAGAAGAACATCAAGATGTGATTGACTTTAGCCATGTTACAGTTGATTCAGCTCCTTCCCGCTCATTTCATTTGGGAAAGACCCAGAGGTGAATTCCCCCGCCGCACCCCTCCCCTTCCTGTTCTTCATACACACACGGTGCACCTGAACCCTCTCAGTCAGCAGGAGCGCCTGCAGCTGCAGGGGGCGCCAACTTGCTGTTTCCAATCCAGACGCTGTGATATGACAGATAATAGAAAACCTCGGTGCGGTGCAGATTTCTTTCTTTTTTATTTTTTTCTCAGCGGTTGAACGCCCCTTTTGTGTCATGAAAAAATGCCGCCCTGGGCAACTGCCCTCTCTGCCCGTGCCTAAAACCGCTACTGTCCATAGAGGATCTATTGTTGATATGGGGATTCTTTTAGCTCTAGTGGACAACTTTAGTTCCTGCGCATACCTGTAGTTATCGTCCATTTATCGTTATCGAGGTGAAATCCTCAATATGTAGTGATATTGGTTTTAGGCCATATCACCCAGTGCCATCTTGGACATAACTTGCTTTTTATTGTGATCAAAGTCATGCTCATTACGTTTTTTTACCAAGCCGCCCCTAAAGGTGTCTGTCCTCCACAGTCCTGTGCAGTCTCTGGTGATCTGAGTTCCAGCTCTAATGGGGAAAAGCTCCTGGAGCGCTGTGTTTCTCCAGTTGGCCACCTCAGCTGGTTTTGTTCAAAAAGTAAAACTTATGGCCCGTGTGTTCACTTTTATTTTGTATATAGTTGCAGCCGGACCTCGGCAGTAACTCCCTACTTGGTCATGACACCTCCCTCTCTTGCACCAAGGAGCAATCGCCGTTTATAAGACAGACAATTACAGCGATGTTACTACCAAGCGAAGCGGAACGAATGCTGCAAAATTTGCACAATGCCATGCTGGCATGACGCGTGTATAAGACACATCGTTGTGGTAGTATTATGCCGATTAGCTGGCGTGGTGTTTGTTGCTTAAAGGGCTTAAGATCCTGCCTGGTGGTGCGTTTTAGATGTGAAGCTGGAGAAGGTGAAGGGAGAACGTTTAGAAGAGGAGGCCTCCTGCAGCAGCTCTGAGGAAGCGAAGGAGCAGGAGCAGCAGCAGGAGGAGGAGGAGGAGGAGGAGGAGGAGTACGACCCCAGCCTGGACCTGGAGGCTGACTTTCCTCAAGGTGAATAAGTTCTGTTCGTCTGCGCCAGAAGGAGCAGGAACTTTTTCTGACTGCAGACTGCCAAACAGCTGAAACTTTAATACAATTTACTTTGTTTATTTGAGTTTGTCCAAATGTAATGGTTAGTTTATGACCAAATACTCTCAAAAATTAAATTACTTTATCTCTAGGCTCCAGGGTCAAGTTTATGTTGCTGTTTTGTTGCTCTTGTGTGAAAACATCACTTATCTTGAGGATCAGTCTAGTAACCATGGCGTCGATGCCTCCCTTGGGCTATTTTCTCGACGTGATCTGAGCCGAGGTTTTAAGGCTCGTCCCTGTCCCGAGGTTCGACAGGAACTTTATCAGTTAGCCTAACAAACAACAAGTTATGGTTAATGGTTTCATGAATGCTGTCTCAGCCTCAGACCCCGTCCCTGAGCTGGAGGGAATGGATGAGGACATGGGCTTCTCTCTGCCTCTGGTTCTGGCCGAGGAGAAGGAGGAGCTGGAGGAGTCGACCCCTCGACCTCAGTCCAGGAGACTTGTATGTTCATAAAGTCATGTTTAAACATGAGACTTTTACCGCTCAGCTTTCGTTTTACTTTGTAACACATGTGCTGCAGGGAAATAAGCGACAAGCTGTGGAGGATGTGGCTTCCTCCACGTCTTCTCGTTCAAGCAGCAAATCTTCAGAGAGACGATCGCTGCCACTCAAAGCTCGCTATGGCGTCAATGCTTGGAGACGCTGGGCGCTGTGTCTTTCTGACCGATCAGAGGACACTAAAGTTAAGGACGACTCCAAACCAAGTAAGCTGAATGTTGTCGTGTGTATTGCCTGTACTGGAATGGAGAATGAAAATAAAGGTCTGCTTCTGTTTCCATCTTTTTCAGTCCGGCCTAAAAGTAGCCTGCTGTCATTGAACTCAGATGAGCTGAACGTGGCTCTGTCTCGGTTTGTTAAGGAGGTCTGCCGACCCAACGGGGAGCGCTACTCGCCAGACAGCATCCTCTACCTCTGCTTGGGGATCCAGCAGGTTGGTGCATAGGAAAACAAAACCTCTAATGCCTGAAGAGCATCACTGAGCTAAACCATCATCTATCCCAGTTTATTTGTCCCACACCCCATGAATGTGAGAATATTTCAATAAGCATCATTTTAGTAGGTTGCTCTTTCTGTGAATTTGAATCTAAAATATCTAGTTGTTGAATCATCAGCTTTTAAGGTTGTGGTCATAGTAATATGTTTTATTTAAAGGGGCATTATGGAAGTTTGACAGCCAAAACATGTATAGAAATAATAAATGTCTTCTTCATACATTCTCCTGCAATGTCCTGGTCCTGTAGAATGAGCCCTGGCATTTTTACTGTGATTGCCTGTTTTTCTGTAAAGTCACAGAAAAAGAGAGATGCTCGGGTCGAGCAGGCTGCTTCATGCGCGTTCACGCTCAGCCATAGCCCGTAGCATTTGCTATCCGTAGCTTTAGCAGCAGAGAGAGAGGCAGTGCCAACTCAGCAACTTTGTCGCTGTTCCTAACGCCTAGTGACAAAGCTAGCTACATTTCTGAGGACCCTTAGCTGCTTTCTTCTAGATATTTCCTGCAAATTAGCAACAAAATAGCCATTTTCGCTTTGAACAGTTCTTTGGTTTGACGTTGTTTCAGCTGTCATCAAGGATGTAAAAGTTACAGATACTGTGAATGTTACTAGAGTGTAGCTCAACTTGTAAGATGTCTGACTCCCATGCAGAAGACCTGGGTTTGATTCTGGATGTGAACATAGTTCATTTAGAGTTTCTTTTTTACATTAATGGTATATTTTTTTACAGTAAGATGCCCAAATTTTTATTTGAGACTCGCCGAACGGCATTGAATTCACAGATAAAAGATGTGGGTTCAACTTTCACTTTGGAACAATTTTTCAAGCAAGGGAAGGGAATGATCTGAGCATGCAGGAGGACTGACCCATCATAAACCTTTGTTGGCTGTGCTGAAGAGAAAGGTACAGAACCAAATAATTTAATTAATTAGCTGCGTGTTCTCCTGTCCTCTGTCCTCCAAGCCACACACACACGGGACAGTCTCAGCTGTTATTTTTATTAAGGAGTGTGCACGTACAGCATGCGCGCCTCGTGCACGAGCCTACTATTGAAGCTGCCGTTACGGTTTTGGCCTGAGGGGGCAATCGTGAGCATAAAAATTCAAAAGTCCGTAAAGTCCCTTTAAAGAAACACTCCTTAACTTTGTGGATATATGCTCTCTGTCGCCTTCTCAAGGCTTCCCGCGTAATGTCACTGTTGTAAAATGAAATCTCTTGTCGTGCATTAGAGGCGGGTTTACTGGCTTTTTTTCCGACTCAGGTCTACCATAGACATTTACTCGTAGACGCCCCGTGGACTGGTGCTTCCTATTTGATCTGTCGTAGGGGCCAGCTGCCATTTTAGATGGGTCTCCATTCGCCCCCTGTGCACTCTTTTCTACCGAGGAAGGTGCTTTCCCGACAAAAACACATTGTATCAAGCTTTTTCACAAAGTCAGACACAAGGTATAGCGTGATAATTAAAATATAAATATAATTAAACAATTAAAAGCTGGTCTGGTGGCTGGGCTCTTATCCATGGAGCCCAGCCAGGCATAGCCCAAAGAGGAGACGTGGGTCCCCCGTTCCATGAGCTCACCACTCATGGGAGGGGCCAAATGGGTCAGGTGGTAGCTGAAGGCTGAGGTCTGATCCTCGGCTACAAAAGCTAACTCTCAGTACGTGGATTGTCGCCTCTCTGGTGGGGAAAGAGCCGGAGTTGGTGGGTGAGGTTGAGAGGTTCCGGCTAGATTTAGTTGGACACACCTCAACACATGGCTCTGGATCCGGAACCAGTTTTTCTCGAGAGGGGTTGGACTTTCTACCACTGTGGAGTTCCTCTCACTGAGAGGCGCTGAGCAGGGTTGGGCACACTTGTTGCCCCCCATCGCTCCGTCCCGCAGTGCTCCTCCATGAGAGCGGGGGTGGGGGTGGGGTGTTTGCACACGTTCCGCTGCTGTTTCTCACCAGTATCAGCTGATGGAGGGCTCTAGTTTCGCTGCACCGTTCGTGTCAGCGGACATGGTAGGGTCGGGGAGGGGGGCGGGGCATGACGCTTGGCGGGTGGAAAAGAAAAGCCTGGCGGCCCGCCAGGCTTATAAAGCACTGGGGAAAACCCTGCATCTGATCTGCGGCCGCATGTCTTGGACATTCAGGTGAAGACGGGCAGAGCTGTCAACTGACCACTACCTGGTGGTAAGTTGGCTTTGATGGTGGGGGAGGAAGCCGGTCAGACCTGGCACGCCTAAACGCATTGTGGGGGTCTCCTGGGAACCTCTGGCAGAGTTTCCTGTCAGAAGGAGCTTCAATTCCCACCTCTGACGCATACCGAGGTAAGCTGGGGACATTGAGTCCGAGTGGGCCATGTTCCGTTCTCCTATTGTTGAGGCGGCTGACCAGAACTGCAGCCACAGGGTCGTCAGTGCCTGTCGTGGTGGCAACCCCCGAATCCGCTGGTGGACACCGGTGGTTAGGGATGCTGTCAAGCTGAAAAAGTCCTATTGGGTTTTCAGAGGCAGCTGATGGGTACCGGCAGTCCAAGCGGAATGCAGCTTGGGTGGTCACGGAGGCAAAAACCTGGGCATGGGAGAAGTTTGAGACCATAGAGCAAGACTTCCATATGGCTTTGAGGAGATTCCAGTCCACCATCCGGCATCTCAGGAGGGGATAGCAGTGTGCTACCAACACTGTTTTCGGTGGTGATGGTCTGCTGCTGACCTCTACTTGGGACGTTGTAGATCAGTGGGCGGAATACTTTGAAGACCTCCTCAGTTCCACTGGCTCGTCTTACAGTGAGGAATCAGAGTCTGGGCACTTAAGGTTAGACTCTTCAGTCTCTGGGGCAGAGGTCACTGAGGTCGTCCAAAAACTCCTCAGTGGCAAGGACCCGGGGGTGGATGATCCGCCCGGAGTTCCTTAAAGCTCTGGGTGTTGTGGGGTTGTGTTGGTTGCAATATCGCGTGGACATCGAGGACCGTTCCACTGGATTGGCAGATTGGGTTGGTGGTCCCCCTATTAAAAAAGGGGGACTGCAGAGTGTGTTCCAGAGTTGGACTCCACCAACATCACCGATTCTGTTCATAACTTTTATGGACAGGATCCCTAGGTGCAGCTAAGGTGTTAAGGGGATCCGTTTTAGTGGCCTAAGGATCAGGTCCCTGCTTTTTGCAGATGATGTGGTCCTGTTGGAGTAGTTCGCAGCTGAGTGTGAAGCGGCTGAGGTGAGAATCAGCTCCTCAAAATCTGAGACCAGGGTCTTGAATCGGAAGAGGGTAGAGTGCCTTCTCCAGGTCAGGGACAATGTCCTGCCTCAAGTGGAGGAGTTTAAGTGTCTTGAGGTCTTGTTCACATGTGAGGGGAAAAATGGAGCGTGAGATTGATGAGCAGATTGGTGCTAGGTCTGCAGTGATGCAGGCTGAACTGTTGTGGTGAAGACAGAGCTGAGCTGGAAGGCAAAGCTCTCGATTTACCGGTCAATCTACTTTCCTGCCCTCACCTATTTTTGGAGAGTGAGAAGACCCATCCAATAAGGCGGTGAAGATGTTACACTCTCCAGCACCTAATGGGGCATCTACGTGTCTGTGTCTATGGCGTCTACATGATACTGCCGTAAAGCAACACACAGTCAATACTTCTGGCGGCAGACCGCTGGTCAAAATCTGCATAGTGCGGTAAACAGACGTGGGACACTATAACGCTATCACAGCTCCGAAAGTGAACATAATAGATGATAGTGTGCCGCCAGAACATTTCAAAAAATGTTATTCTAAAGGTGCATTATGTAGAAATGTAAGTTAAAATGACATCCTGTGGTAACATTTGGCAACTGCAACCACTTTAAACAACTCTGGAGCTTTTTGCCAGTCGTCAAATTACAATTGTCGGCGCTGCATTATTAGCTTACATGGCAACCCCACACTCACTGGTGGTAAACAGTAGTTACGTCCCTACTTCCTTTGTTTTGAAAGGAAAGAGATGATCCTTGCAGCCAGCTGGATATGAAATATGCTTCGGTAAAACCTTCCTTCCAAAACGACTTAAACATTCGACTCTTGGGATTTTCTTACTGTAAAATTTTCACTACATTCTTACATACTGCACCTTTAAAGTGCATCTTCCACGTTAAACACATGTCGAAGCCGTTTTATTGTAACAGGTCTTATGAGTCACGTGACTCCCAAAACCGCACGTGTTTCAGGGGAGCCTGCCCGCCTCCTTTGATTTAGTATTTTTAAACACCTGCTAGTTATCTGAAAACCTAGATTAATAACCAAAGTAACATTTTTACCTTAGATAATGTTTTTCTACCATTTTCAAGAGCATTAAAGATGCACTTTAAGGTGTATGAGTTGTGGAATGTGTTTTTTACTAAGAAGTAAGGTCTTCTGTTCAAACCTAATGTCATTTTTCATGTTTTTAATTCTTTTGATTTTGTTTTCTTAATCTCTCATGATGCATTTACAAACGTGCCAATAAAATATGGTTTTAATTATATTTAAAACATCAACTGCATTTTAATTTTACTGCTTAATGTTCTTTTTTCATGACCTAATTAATAATAATAATAAATCACTAAATTAGGTAGAAGTATTTGGTAACTCTGACGTGATTCTCAGGATTAGTTTGAGGTGTTTTTGGTAGTAGGAACTAAAGTTTGGTGCGTATTTTCGGTAGGTTGGGTATTACTGGTGCACCCTCTCTTTCACCATCTTTTCCCTCGTGAGCAGCATGTGGGCCGCGTGGAGCGCGGGCTCGTCTAAACTCTTCAGGTTTCTGGCGTTTCTGCCTGATGAAACGTAAGAATAACTTGTTGTGTTTATAAAACTAACCGGTTTTTGTTGAGTTAGTGACTCGTGAGGACCAGGTCGGTCTTTATTTTCTTGCTCCGGTCGCTGCTGTAATGTCTCCTTTGTTCAGGGAGTTTAAGTCGTTAACGGGACTTGGTGACCTTTATGTGTCCTATGATTATATCTATTGCTGTTCACATCCTGAGTAAAACAGTGATGATGCTTTTAAATATGAGGACACTAAATCTTTCTGTGGTAGCAGCTTCTCGGCACCGCCTGATTTAATGACGTGAGTTTTCATTTGTATTTAAGCATCTTCATGCTAAAGGCCGGAAGGATGACCTGTTCGGTGACTCCTGTTATCAGCAGTTTGGAGAAGAGCTGAACAAAGTGCTGAAGGACTGGCAGCCCAGTGTTCTACCTGATGGTAAAGATTAATATTTCCCTCTAATGAGCAGGACTTTGTGCGCGTGCTTCAGCACGTGCTTTTCTACTGTCCAAGCATGAATGATAACTTCGTAACGAAACAGATTTTCTCTAAAAAGTTAAAATATTGTGAAATTAAGCTAGTTGTAATTATTTGTTTTCAGTCACACTTTTCTCATTTCCTGTTAAAAACAAAGTTTTCTGATCGAGTTAAATCTGATATGTATGTAGTAGAGCTGCATAATAGGAAAACCTGCGATATTCGATAACAGTGCTTAATATTGCGATATCGATATTACTCGCAATAAATGAACAAATACTAAAGTATGCAGTGTTGATGTTGTCTGGCGTGTGACGTCTGCTCTGGGTTCAAAGCAAACAAAAACTAATGCATGAATTCCATTACAACATAACATTTTTATTGCAACATTATGCAGCTGCACCTGCTACTGTATTAGCAGCAAAACAACAAACTGCATGCATGCAGTTTCTCAGTGACTTTAAAACATCACCTCCACCATAAAACTTTTTCTGATGCTCCAAATACAGAAAAACATCCCTTACCAGGGTTTTTTGAATAAATAAATAAAAATCTGAAAATAATTTTAAATGTTAAGTAATAGTTAACATCACTTAAATGCAACAGCAAATTCTCTCATTGCTACTGAACATTTTCTCCACTTATGTGGTTATGATATAAGGCTGTTGCTGCAATTTGGAAGTGAACTGTGCTGGGCCAAACTAGGAGAATATTAAGATTTTTTGAGGGAAAGAGAAAAACAATTGTCTCCCTTTCAGAAGAGGAACTGGCAAAAAACTACATGGAAAATATGTGAAAACGTTTGTTTTTAACCCCAAATTGAACAAGTTTACCTAGATCTTAAAAAGCAGCTCAGATGATGAAACTGCAACTATGATTCTGATAACAAGCTAACAAATTGAGTCCGGGAATGACTGAGCAAATCAACTATCCTGATTAACAAGGTTATAAAAGCTCATAAATGAAAAATCACTTTGATGTGTGGGGGAACTTTTCCAGGCCCTCTTTAGCAGGGTGGGACTGGGAGGAGAGTGCTGTAGCCTTTTAGCTGGAAGCTAACTGGAGCCTGGGGCTAACACTAGCGACATGAAGGTGGGTTGGTTCACTGGCACGTGTCGGAGTCAGCCCGGTAAAAATGATTAACGACACAGAGCGGAGCCACGTTCACGTTTGAAAGCAGCGCTGATTCCAGAAACCTCAGCATAAAGTGCGTTCGTTGCTCTGAGCCAGAATGACGAACAAGGGAACGGCGCCGCTAACTCTGTTCGGGTGTTGCTTTCCAAAAGGGTCTATATAGGGGGCGGGCATATTACGTGAACGGAACCATCTGATTGGCCGCATATCAGAAGGACTACATTTGATTGGTCAAATAATACTTCCCCGTAAAAAACAGAGCTGGTTTACAAAAAGCTGATGTATGACATGGATGGAAATGTTTGAACCAAACTTTTATCGCTGTTTTTGCCGTGTTTTGTGATGGGCCTATCGCACGTCCTGTTATCGCGATGACGATAATTTTTCGATATATTGTGCAGCCTTAGTATGTAATAAAAAAAAAGCTGATTTATTTGTGATTTCCAGGAAAGACTAAATCTACACACCTAACTAAAAACTAACAGACATGAGATTAAATCTCAGTTTGGCGCCTGGAAACAAAATCCCCCGTCACTGATAATAATGACATGGTGAAGTGGCTTCATACCAGGATACAGGGATGGGTTTGAGTCCGGGAATGTCGGCACCAGCTGGTGGAGCTGTGCTGTTACATAACCTGTGGTGTCCAGTGATTATAACATTTTTGCTGTTCACATCCTGATGCTCTGTGATTGCATTTTACGTTGTATGAGGACATTACATAAGTACTGAATGTTTTCATGAATTTTTAACAATAGTAATCAGTTTTAAGGTTATTTTCTGTTCGAAGGTGAGATAAACACACTTGAGTGCTGTCGACGCACAGGGATCGTGAATCTGAAGTGTTTCCTGCTCTCTCAAGGCTCACTGTGGGGTCGAGTGGAGGAGCATAGTCTGTGGAGCAGTCGGCATGTCGGGGAGCAGAGTCCTGCCGCTCTGCTGCGCTCTCTGGTTTACCTCAACACCAAATACTTTGGCCTGCGCACCGTGGAGCAGCACCTGCGCCTCTCCTTCGCCAACGTTTATGGCCCTGACACCATCCATCCTGTTACCAAGGAGACCACCGTCCGCATCAGAGTGCCCTCCATCTCTCAGGATCACCCCGGTGAGCCTGTTGTCACTTTTACGCATTGAGTCGTGTTTTATTTTCTCTTTAATAATTAAATGGTGCTGACTCTTTTCTAACACACAAGCACGTTGGTCTCAGCTGATCACCGCTCCTGGAGCCGGAGCACATTTTGACGTTTGTTGTTGTTGTTCTGGCGAAGTGCAAACAGAATCCAGGAAGAGGAAGCGCACACTGACGGATGATGAGCAGGAAGAAGACGAGAGCTCGGGAGGCCCGGCCGTTCGCTGTCCAGTAAAGAAGAATGAATGTCGGCTCTATGAGCTCTATAGATCCAAGTGGTAAATGTCTGCAGTAATGGTGTCATTTAGCCAGTGTTTAAAGCATTCGCAGGATTTAAAATGTATAAATCTAAAAATATGCATCAACTGTTTTATTAGTGAGTGTTGGTTTGTTCTCCGGCGTTTCACAAGGAACATCTTAGAACTTATTTCATTAAATGATCTGATTGGAACTAATTACCCCCCCCCCTTCCTCCTCCCAGTCCGACGTTGTTGTGGGAACGCCTCGACGTTTTCTACGTTCAGCCGGATCCAGCCTGCAGCACCAGTGACGCCCTGTGGTTCAGCTCCACGCAGCTGGAGCGATCAGTCCTGGAGAGCCTCCTCACTAGGGTTCTCCTGGTCAGGGACATTTACACGGACAGGAGACACCTGGAGGATGAAGATGAAGAGGATGGATGTGAGGAAGTGGAAGGGGAGTAGCGTCTGATTGGACTGGGGTTAGCACCTAAAGGAAACCTTGTAGGATGTGTTAGTGTGTGTTCCTGTCCTCATCCTTCACATTCTCCGGTGACTTGCTGTTTCCTCCTGGTGAGGGATGTCCACAACAAGTAGAGGTGATGAAGTGGTGAGGAGCTGCTCAAATGAAAAAGAAGGCAGAGGACAAAAACCTTTGATTTCTAAAAGGACAAGCAGGTCCATGGACTGAGATCACGAGAGGAGATGGAGGGATGAACTGTCTTCTCCTCGTCGAGCTAAATTCAGGTTAAGGACCGTCTTATCAGGTTATCGTTTTGTTGTGAGATGCTGCAGCGTGTTTAGAGTTCTCTGATGAAGCAAATCAGATGGTTCACATTCTCAGTCAGGACAATGGTTATGTTTTTACTAGAAGCACTAATAAAAACCTGTTAAATGCAGCCGGTGGTTCAGTTTTTAATGAAGCAGGACTGTGGCTGATGACCTGTTGGTTCTCCGTTGATGACGAGCATCAGAGGCATAATGCTGATGTTTTGGGTCAGAAACGCATCACTTCTGTTTCATTTGCTGTTATGGATTCAGCCTCAAGCTGGTGGGATACACCGGCTAGAACCGCTCTACTCCACAGACGAGAACGTCTGATCCGGATCTTCAGATACCCATGTGTGTCTAATCTTTAATCGGGATGTCTCTGCACAAGTTCATGTCTTAAGAGCCGCTGAAGTCTTCAACAGATTTTATCATCGCAACAAATAACCAGGCTGATAAAATACACAGAAGCAGTCTGTTACTGATGACAGTCTCTGTGGTCATCCTGGATGTTCAGAGCGTTAACGAAGGACAGATTAGATTAGATCCACCATCTAAACCAGAATTTAAACTAGAAACAATATTTTAGATTAGCCAGAATAAAGTTAGTTTGTTCTTGTTTTTAGGGCACTTGTACTGGAAATTGTGAAAAGGTGCACCAAGTGTACTTTTACTGGAGGTTAGTACCCGGTTGTCTCTGAACTGGGCTGCTTTAACCCCACCGTTCACCCGATCTTCCTCAATCAGCACTGCTCTCAGGCTAAAAACGCAGGACAGGAGACCTACAGATATGCTGCGTTTACTTTTAGAACATTAAAGTCCCCTTCATTCCTACGATGTAGCATTACCTGCATAGGCGCCCAGGCAGGGTTGATCCTGCTGTGTAAATATCTGGTAGTCGCCGTGTGCGATCCTGTAGTTTGGGGCAAAGAGGGCGTCACCGTGCTGGATTAGAAGCCTTTAAGGTGCTCGTTTTGGGTTTTATTGTGTTCTTTTGTATGTTAAGGTAGTATGGCGGACATTTCTTCTCACCAATAACTGCTGCTGTCCTAAAACTCAACGAGGACTTTGGTTTTCACATCCTAGCACTTCGAGTTTTCCCCTTACCTTTTTAGGGACAGCTTCAGAGTCATTCAGACACCTGAGTGTCTTTAAAGTTATTTTTATCTGTTTGACTCTGTCTTTTTAGATCCCTCCTTTGAATAAATAGCTCATTTTTTCTTGCGCTCAGATCTGTTGGAGAGTTGAGGGTTTGTTTACGGCATCCTCTCAGAATAAACCTGCTCATGTGCTAAATTGTTGCCATGAACTCCAAACGTTTCTTCCTGATGTAGGACATGTTTTTGTGGATATTCTTCATTGCTGCTGCATGTTTTTTTTTTTTTTTTTTTTTTTTACCTGATGGACTCTTATTCCTTCTGTTCTTTAGTTTTCAGGACGTCTAATGGTCCAAATCTGTAAACTGTGATGAGTTAGAGTAGACGAGGATTTCTGGCACCAGGAAGTGCTGTCAGCTCAAACCCAAACCTAAAGGTTGCAGGTGAACAGATCCTGGATCCAAACTGTTGGTTTTTGTTCCCGTCGGACTGAAAAGTAGCAACCGAACCTGCCACGGGTTTGGACCTACAGGGGGCGCTGTTGCTGGCTCTAACGCCTAATGTGAATGTGCCTATCTGTACATAGTGGAAGTGAGTGTGAGTTGAATCTGATGCTGTGTGTGGACTGATCAGCTGATACGGTTATGTTTAATAAAAAAAAATCTCCTTTTTTTAACCAGGCTGGGCTTTCTATCAATTGTGAGGTTTTATTACATTAGGAAGGTTTAGTGAACATTAAATAGTTGCAAGAAGTGTTTAATGTAGAAGAAACATTTAAAACGCCCCCAGAAAAGTCTCCATGTGACACAAACCATAAAAGATTGTTTCTTTAAGCAGTGATGTATTAAACCTCCAGTTTTTGCTTGGCGGGATTGTCTTGTTTACCAGAGTTAAAGAAACCGGAGCATGGTCGCTGACAACTGAGGTGTATCTCAGTGTCTGAAATGTCAGCCAACAATGAGCTGCTGACTAGAAAATAAACCAAACGTGAATGAGAGTGATGGACGTGTGAGAAAAAAGTATACTCTCTATGGTTAGGAAGAAGAGATCGCCATGCATCACAAAGCCCATAATCACTCATGTACTGTTTAACTATATTAGTGGATTGCCAATTGCGCTGAGTCCCAGCTGTACTGAGCCTGTCTGATAAAGAGTTCATCCAAAAATTAAAATCGCTTCCAAGTATAAGTGGACAGTCCAAGTGTTCGGAGAAAAAACTATGAAAGAATGAAGGGTCATCAATATTTGGACAGTATATGCTGACAATACATAAGCTTTGGTTCTGTACAGATATTTTTAAACATAAATCTACCCTCTAGTATAAAAGATTGTTTCTAAAATAATCAAATTGTCAGTAAAAATGAAGCTGATGCGTTTGTCGTAGCTCCCTATCTGGTAAAGATGTGTTTATGCTGCTGCCAGGTGATCAGCTGTGGCAAACATGTTGACCTGAGTTGCCTCCTGCTGGTCGAGTGTAGATTCGTGTTGGTGCCATTAAAGTTCTCCAGCGGTTCATGAGGCAAAAACACTATCACCCACCCTTTTGGCTGCAGGAGATAACTTAAATCAGAATGTGAGAGTTGTGCACGGAGGCCCCTTAGATGTGTTTGTACAAGGTGCCAGGCGGACGCGACACTGGGGGGTGTGATGTGAAGATGACAGGCAGCAGAGGCGGTGGGGGCTGTCACCACCCAGAGGTCAGAGCCACTGCCGGACCCACGAAAGTCAGGTCCCGTGACGCAACCAACCTCATGGTTCTGGAAAGGCCTGACCTCTGAAGCATCAGTGGTGGCAGTGATGTTACCTCATGTTGCTGATCACAGTTCATTGTGACTGTTAGAATTTCTCTGGCGTCATTTTCCAGCTTCAGAATATCTTCAACTTGTTTCAGCGTCAGGCTGGATTCCCACCTCCTGCTTTAACCCTTTAGGGCCAGCGTCTATATTTAGACACTTCATAAAGGTTGGTGTGCCTTTTCACAAACTCTCAGAATTACTGGATTTCCCCCTACCAATCAGAGACGCAACTAGTTACGGTTCGCGCCATGACGCCGTTCAACCAGTCTGCACAGGGTTATGTATCGGTGTGTGCAAAACCAGAAAGCTGCTCGGTCTCCTCTCGTGTTTGCAGCAGGGTTCATGGTCAGATACGGATAAATGTGTTGTAAATATGAAATTTAATGAAGTTGGTGAAACAAAAGCTGCCATATTTGATCACGCATATAAAAAAATATAAATATGCAAATAAAAGGAAGAGCGTATATTTATAGGTAAAAGCTTTTACTATTAATTTTTTTTAGAAAATCTTCCTAATCATGGTAACAGCTATAATAATTATAATTTTGAATATATTTTGCTGTACGATTTCTATGAGAAACGGGATGGCCAATCTCACCACTGGTGATGATGATGAAGAGGAGGAAGATGACATTGAGGCAGATCCTCAATATATAATATTCTAAAATATTTTAATCTATATTTGATCAGAAATGGTATCTACTAAATTTCAATAATATTCTAATCTTTTTATAATAATACATTATGTAATATAATAATTCTGAAATATTCTGTATTATTCTAGTGATATAATGTTCTAAAATTGGCTAGATTATTCTAAAATGTCTTAAAATTATATTATTCAAAAATATTGTTTTTTTCACTTGAAACACGAAACAACAGAAGAAATTTCCTGTTATACTGGAATAACACCCTGGGGTTTAGAATAAAGGGTTAGGGTTATTGGGTTTTTGAATAAAAACAACGGTTCCCGTGTTTTCGCTTTCCAGACGTAGATTTCTGTCAGACGTTTGTTTTCTCTTTTTAGCTTCATCCGATTGCTCTCTGTGTCTGCGAAGGCTTCGCCACGATGAACGCGATACAATAAGCACCAGCCACCTGTAGCGGGCCTGTTCTGAGGTGTGGACACCGGTCAAGAGAGGCTCAAGTTTTAAATGTGGTATTCAGCCCACACGGAGCGGAGTGGGCTGAGAGACCATTCACTCACCCTGAAATGGGTCCGTTTAGCTCCAACTGGCTCAAGAAAAGGATTTTAAATTTGACTGTTACTTGGTGTGCCTTTAAACTCAAGTTGCATCAGAATAAATATTTCTGGGTTTCTAAGGGTTAGGGCTAAGCTCTACCTCCTCAACAGGATTAGAACTTCTAAAATCAAAGTATTTTATCTGGCAGGTGCCAATTTTTTTAATTTTTGTTTTATTTTTACATGATTGCACATAAAATGAGAAAAATTGTACTTAAAAAAAAACCTAAACCTTTTTAATGTTTTGGTGGCAGTGAGGCCTTATGACCCAGGGATCACGTTCCATAGGTGACCACATCCCACAGGAAACAGATGATAGAAGCTGGTTTTGTTCCCTTTTCCTCTGAAAATCAAGCAGCACTGGGTCATCTCTCCCACTGGGTGGTGCTGAAGGCCCAGTATGAACCCCATTAGCACATTTCAGCACCCCAAATTCCCACTACACCTGTTAAACCAGACCAACTGGAGCTCCCTCTGCAGCGACTGACATACAGGCAACCCCCAGCCTCATCCTCTTACCTCATCCGGCAATTTTGAGCCAACAAAACCCTGAAATCTTGCGGCAAACACGGATGAACAAAAGTACAAAACGCTGTGACACGGTCCAAATTTTTGAAGAGGCCAGCTTTTTTCTTTCTGTGCTAACAGAGTTGGCCAGACTCCAGTAACTTGTCCCATTGATCTGCAGCTAAAATGCCCATGTGCGCCCACACAGCCGGGCTGCGAGGAAGCAGGACTCGTGCAAAAACATTTTTTCACCCATGGGTTTTTTTCTTTTTCTTTTTTTTTTTTTTTTTTTTTTGTTTGGGCTCAATCCCCAGCTCTTTCAGAGAGCATAAAGAAATGACTGTGCTCAGCAGGGTCATGTGGGTGTGGTCCGGGGTTTGGACTATAGGTGGTGATTAGGGCCTCTAATGTGTAACGAATCCTCTTCCAATCACATGATATGAACTAAAGTCGCCAAATAACGATGAAACAACAGCACTGGGGAGGGAAGAACTGCTGTGTGTGTGTGTGTGTGTGTGTGTGTGTGTGTGTGTGTGTGTGTGTGTGTGTGTGTGTGTGTGTGTGTGTGTGTGTGAGCTGTGTACTACTGTGGAGAAAACCACAGGGCAGGAATGGATGACTGCTGCATTTCTCAGGACACGGGCCATCTGAGGGACATGTTTGGGGGGACGGATCGCTCAGAGGATGCTGTCGTCCTGGTGGACTCTTATCTTTTCATTCCTGCCTCACTCAAAGAACAAATGAGAGAAGTCGTGGTTTCTAATATCTGGCTGACATGTAATGGACAGCATCTGCAGAAGCACACACACTCAGACCTTGACTGTGATGGTGAGGAGAAGCTGGGGGTGGGGGGCTTGGATTAGATTAAATTTAGGATGATCTGACCCTATTTGGTAATCCCCAGTGGAGCTGAGTGCAGAAATCCCCTCCACCAGTCACTAAACATATTCTTTTTCTTCCAAAACACCTAGTGGCTGACAAAGCAACAAGTCCTACACACACACACCTGGAAAAATACACATCTACATTAAATGGTTGCATTTGAATCAGCATTCAGATGATTCACATTGCAGCTTGTTTTTATTCAATTCAATTTTATTTATACAGCGCCAAATCACGACAACAGTCGTCTCAAGGCACTTCACATAATAAACATTCCAATCTAGGTCAGTTCATTAAGCTCCTAACATGGAGCCTGTGAAGGCTACGTTGTCTCTCGCTCTCCTTAGCATTTCAGCTACAACCATCCAGGCCTGCTGCAGACATTTAACCCCGGTGGGTTGCTGCATTCTGCACTCAGGTGGTATCAGCTAGGTGGATTGTGGGTATTTGGGTGTCCCCTCAGCCCCGCCCTCGCTGGGCACACAGAGTCAAAACAAGCCCACTCTATGTGATTGCACATTAGGCACATGCTGCAACAATACACCATTTACACAATGGGTCCGCATTAGAAAAGTCAAGGTTTTGTAGATTAGCACATTTTCCACAGCTAATCAGAATGAGCTCATGCAAAACTGAATATAATTCATTAAACTTATCAGATGAGGAGCCAGGTTTCGCATGCTGCTAGCTTAGAGTCCATCTGAGTGAGAACAGATTGTTGCAGCATCACAGGAGAACGTTGTGTTTGAAATAACAAACAAGCATAACTCAGTCAGCTCCAAACATCATGATTCTAGTCTTTCTGTATTTGAATGTTTTATTTAAATGTTTTTGTGTGAGTATGAAGTTAGAGAAGTTTCCATCCAACAGAACTCAAACCGACTCATCACACTCCTGAAATACACAAAGAGGGTCAGGGGCACTTGTGCTGTGGGCTGAGTGTGAATTTGTTAGGTGATTAAAGGCTAAATATAGCCTCTTGTTCACTCCGAGCTGCAGACTGGTGACTCAGTGGCAGATGTTTGCTTTCTTTACAAGTCACTTTTCCACCACGAAGCCAAGTAAGGCTTAAGAGGAGTCGAAACGGTGAAATGCCACAACTGACAGGCTTCACTTGATGCTTTTAATCCATGAAAAGGTCAACATCCTGTACCCTAGCTCCAGTTATTCAGAATGTTTACTATTAAATCTCAGATTTCACAGGCATTTGGTGAAACAGAAAAAGTTGAATATCATGCAAAAGTTCAT